TTGTAGTCATCTAACTACAAATGCACTTTTGGTCCTAATTTCTCTTCTAAAAGTTCCCTCAGCTTGAACTATGCCCTATCATCTCAGGGCTGGCACATCAGGACATCACCACTGTTCACTAGATCCCTGTCCAGGGTCATCAGTCCTCACACATCATCACTTCCTACACCTAACCTACAAGGAGGACCACTGGGGCAGGTAGCACTGATAATCTCACCAATCTCAGTTCACAGATCTGTAGGTTTTTATTCAAGTGGAAGGCCTATGCTGTTCTTCCAGAATTTGTCCAAAATTATTACCAAATCATTGAATTTCTTTGTAGAATCTACTAGAAATTTGATATTTCAGAAAAAAACAATTGGCCCATTTTTATAACTGTGTGAGTTCTTGCAAAATCAAGAGTAATCTTAAGGTATGCTGCAGTTCACTTAATCTATGCCACAGCTCATTGCTTCAGTTCAGTCCATCACTTCCTCACCTTACCCTTTATCTGGATCAGCTGTAGGTGTGAACATAAAGTGTAATCTGAGATCACAAAGCCACGGCCATAACCCTTCACATTTTACAATCCAGATGGTTTTTCCAAGTAAAGAGTTGCTGCCAATCCAAGATCTCCAGTTGATTGCAATGCCTTAGTTGATGTCATGCTTACAACATGCTGTGGACCTGACTGCATGGAGACATAGAGCAGACCAGAGACTGTCACTGGCTGCATGTCTAGTTAGGTTGTGACAGCCTGACTTAGCACACTTCGTTTCAGCAAACCCTTTGTTCACAATTTCTTAACATAGGAACGTAATCTAATGGCACACAACTTACCTAAATTACAATTGCATATCAGGGCAACACAACACGGCTAGCTACAGTCATCTGGACATCTAGTTAAATGTCTAACTGTGCACTCCTTTGCAAGTTGCAGTGTCTTTATCAATTAACCTTTCCTAGGAAAGATCAGACAATTATAGGAGAGAGAGAGAGAAAGAGGCCTTCACACCTTAACTTACTAAAATCTCCTTGTTAACTAGGGGGAAAATATGCTTTTTGGCATAAACAAACCAGTCTGGAAACCGAAAACACACTAACCCTCAAGGTTATGCGAAAAAACAAAAGCAGACATACCTGTTACAAGATGTAAACTTTCACAAGAGAAGCAATACTTTTCACTAAAAAACCTCTAAAACAAGGCACTAGACTGACATTAGAACTTTACCATCAAAAGACTGCTTCAGATTACAGCATTTGGTCTCTACATACCATGTAACCTCCTTGCAAAATTCACACTGGCCACTTTGATTCATAAAATCATTTCACATGTCTATGCATGCAGAAAAAAACGAAACTCACACTTTGTTTCCTTGAACTTGGAAGTGAGGACCACAACTACTGGAAGGGATGGGTCACAGCAAAACTACTAAGAAATGTGATCCGACTCAACTTGATTAGAGTATCATCTGCCTTTATCATCAGAAGCCTCTGCCGCTTCCTGACTCCCCTATCCAAACAAACCAAGGCTGCCTATCTCTCCATGTATCAACTTAGAAATGTGTGTTACTTCTGATAGACCGATAAGAGGATGAAAAGAATATATACACAATAGATACAGAGGTTGAAAAAAATTAGGGTAAAAAAATGGGATGTCTTTCTTCACCTAAGTAAATATTTTTTGTCAATCTTGTTCTTTTATCAGCCGTGGAAGTAATGCGACTGAGAAATGAGAACAAAGAGAGAAAGAAAGCAGGAAAGATCAAGAGATTCTATCTTGTAAAAACATGGCCATCTTTTGGCACGCCAGCTGTTACAGACTATTACTAAGGCAAAAAGGGAGAATAGATGCATTTCGAAACAAGAAAAAATTGGGAACTCAATACAATTTATAATCACAAGTACAAAAATAATGCCAGCCCATGTTTCCATGTACCAACTGCTGCGGCAGACAGATAGCTGACAGACTAAAGGAGGAAAGTCAAAGCAAAGTAGACTTAGTAACTTTGAACTAAAAAGTAATACTCCTGTGTTCATGTCTGGCAACAACATGGTAGTCAGCTGAGACAATAAATATTAGCATAATCAAAAATGATAAAAAATAACAATAAATTCTTTTTTTTTTTTAATAAAGAGTGAAAGAAAGAGACCAGGCTCTGTGTTCAATATCAATTTTTTGTCTTACTTCATCAATCCTTTCTGGTAAGATGTTTGTCCAGAAAGAAAGAAAGAAAGAAAAAAGAAAGAAAATGAACAAAAGAACAAAGAGAGAGGAATGAAACACCATGCTATGCTAATTGTATACATTGTATCTTCATACAAAAATAACAAAATTAACCCAAAACAAACTCTGCACATACCACACATGCTGCTGAAATAAAAGACCCATTATCAAGTAGACCAGTTCCTCATATGGTAATATAGGCAGAAACCAACATGAAAGAATTTGTAAAATGTAACAACTGGAAACAGAAGCGCAAAGCTTCAAAAGTTGGAAATAGTCAGATGATTCCTGCATCCCCTCCCTTTCTTTGTCTGCAGCAGGAAATTTTATTCGATAAAAACGGACGGAGGGACGATGGGCACTTGTGACCAAAAACCACAAACCAGAAACTTTCAGACAAACAAAGGACATATATTTCTCTCTTTTTTTGGAAAAATGGCTGAGCAGGAAGTGAGTTGGACATTATAGATGGCATTTTGTAATCTCACACCAAAAAGGCACTGCCCGTTACCCATTTGATCGAACCATAAATTGTCATTTGATGCTTGTAGAGAAGCCCCTGATGATGATTAAGATCCAGAAAAAATATTCAGATTATTTATTTTAATTTAATATCACAAATTCTACCACAAAACCAGTCTCTCTCTCTCTCTCTCTCTCTCTCTCTCTCACACACACACACACACACACACACACACACACATGCACACACATTCACACTTTTTATAGTCTTGAAGTAGGCACTGCTTCAGAGGTGGAAACTAAAACAAATGGCCCAGTGTAGTGCTAGGATCTCCAGCATCTGCCCCAGGTGACAGTCATGTTTCCTTTCACTACTCAGCTCTGTCATGTCTCTGGTTACTGATGGTGACTTATGACACAGGATGTGGGACTTTATAAACTATGACATAGTGCTACAAACTTAACAGGTGTGCAAAAATATGGTGATAACACAGTAATGTTTACTATAAATTCTATGTACCCCGTCTATGTCATGTGAGGCTACGTGTTTGATGAGGACATTGGATGCATTACATCATGCAGACTCCAGTAACATACAGCCACCACTGATGTGCAAAATATGGTGATGACATATGATTGCTTACTATAAATTCTATCTACCCTATGTCATGTGAGGTTACATGTTTGATGAGGACATCGAATGCATTACATCATGCAGGTTCCAATAACAGAGGCATACGTACAGTCACCACAGGTGTGCAAAATATGGTGATGACATATTTACTTCTATGTACCTGGTCTATGCCATACAAGGTTACATGTATGGTGAGGACATTGCATTCATTACATCATGCAGACTCCAATGACAGAGGCACATCCTTTAGTTTTTATCCTATCAGTTTCAGTTACAAATCAACTGACTATAGCTGCTTTTGGTAATAAATAATAATATGACTGACAAATCCGATCAATTTAAACTGCAGTTATCATGGGAAAATAGATTTCAGCGCATCATGCAGAGCCTATGCTATAGAAAATCAGTTATATTTTGAAATATTGCTATCACAAGCTGGGGCCAATGCTTGCTGCAAGGCCATGAAGTTCTACGTGGTACCTGTGCCTGTCACATAAGTGAAAGACTAGTGACTTCTGACTGATGGCCAGGTCTTATAACCAATTTGAAGTTCTTAGAAAGATATCAAAATATGATCAAAGGATTTTTCTACAAATTTTGACTCTATAAACATCAGACAATGCCGCAAGAGCATTTTCAGAAGATGCTTTCTTCAGCATTTAAGACCATGCTGACAAGATTGTTGGTCTAACATTTTACTTCAAAAACTGCATGGCACACCTCTGTCAGAGAGAACAAGTTGCCATGAACTCAATGCAGAAAATTCCAGTAACCATAATATATAGCTGTTAGCAAAAAAAAAAAATGAAAAAAATTATCCTCATTTTAGTGCTTGAACAAAAATGATCAAATTATCTTTTATTTGAAACGTCATTTACCCACCCCAACCCACAATCTTTAGTATTAAAACTACCTGTATTCAAACCCCGTCCCACTTATATAAATATTAGCACATATGTAAAAACAGTAAAATTGTAATTTGTGTACATGTGTTAGCCACCTGGATGTTGAAGCTATTGTGTAACTTCACACTTCGGCAGCAAGTCAGTTCTTAGGCAAAAACAAACTACCTCCGTGTGTTCTAGATTACATGGACAAATATTTGACTAAGGGCATCTGCTTCCTAAACGACAAAAACCTGTTCAATTTACTCAAGACAATAAAACCCAATAAATCCCCCAATACTTCTGCGATGTACATTTGATCTCGTGAAAATAGAGTTTGGATTTCTCACTTTGCTGATGATTGCATTTATAATTTGATAATGGGATTCGTTCCCTCATCTAATGCCATGGAAGTTCTAACAATCGCAGAAGTGCGCAGAAGCCGACTGCCTCCCAGCATGACATTATAATGACAACCCGCAATTTCAGCATTTTCCACAAGAGGTAACTGATACTGTTTGTTAAACTTCATTAATTTGGATAGGGACAAGCAGACAGGGAAGCTGCAACTTTTCAAGCCTAATACCAATCATTAAAACATCATAACATTCACCCTTTAATTATGAACTAACTCTCTCACTATGTTGGTAATTTGGTGTTTTTCATTTCTAAAACTGGCATCTGATCTCGTTTATTAGCCTCTACAAAACTAGATCAGGACAAGGGAGCTGAGCTGGGAATAATTCATTATAACATCTGGTGAAAAAAATGAGAAAAAAATGTAAAAATACCAATCATAATGGTATGCACTTACCAAGTACCAGTGACTGTAATTCTCAGTAATTTCCCCAACATGAACACACAATGTAATAGACTTGCGCTTGGTTTTCAGCTCTCAGCTTCACAGGAAATTGCTACCCTTTCAGTGGTCCTGTAATACACAAATGGAGAATTAATTGCAAATGAGTATTTGCTTGTTACAGCCTTAATAAACGCTGTTCAAGAGTATCATGTGTAGCACTGTACAATTCATCTAAGTGAGTTTGTGGCTGGCTTAGAAAGAGATAAAAAAGACTTTGAAAACAATAACTGTAGGAGCACTTGTTTTCTAATGTGATATAGAACTAAAACCTGAAAATTAAACCAACCATTTTCATTAACAGTAACAATTGCTGTAATATTACATATTTGGCATTGTATTCCTTGTTTTATTTTCAATAAAAGAACACAAAGAACATATCTTTTAAGTGCCAATCATAATTATTCTACCCGTTTCTCTTTTATGTACAGGAGGCAGATTATGGCCATCTTCAACAATGATACAATCACATATAAATCACATAAAAGAGAAAGCATTACATTTGAGAGATCAGTCAGAAGAGCTTGACTGCCAACTCCCCCCCCCCCAAAAAAAAAAAAGGTCCCCCCCCCCTCTGAATCTGCCCCTTATCCTTATTATGTAACGCACACTGATCTCTCCTCAGTGAGTCAGACAACCACATCTTTGGCACCACAAAAAAGTAGACAATATTCTAACTGCAATTTTTTTTTTACTGGAAAGGAGACCTCAACAACCTGGAGAATAAATACTTCCTTATCAACTGCTGTCTGTCACCAGCTACCACCAGACACTTGTCGTACATTATGTAACACTCCTGCCCATCTCAGAGGAGGTCCAACAATCAGACACTGCTGACACCAAAAAAAAAAGTTGAAAGCAAAGCCTCCAAAATTTACAACGTTTTTTTTCTGTGAAGAAGAAATGCAGCAACGCAGCCTGCACGCTGCCAAACAATAACACAACAACTAGCAGTAAGCCAGACCAGAAATAGAGAGCCAGACTATCCCAGGAATTCACCATGTATGAAAACAGTGTACCTTGTCAGTAAACTTTTTTTTTTGTTGGTTGTCATGGCAACTGACTATTACCTGTAGCTCCAAAAGAATGTGTTTGTTTGCATGTGCACGCATGCACATTTATGCATGCATGTGTGTAAATAAAGGCGTATGCTCAAATGCTTACCTTAACCACTTAACCACTTAGAAGCTTTGCAGAACTGCATAATCAATGAATATAATGAAATATCTTTCACAGAGATACTGGCATTGCCAAACTATAAAATATCCTTATTACCTTTTGTATGCTGATTTCTTTACCTGCTGTACAATGTTAATAGGGCTTATCAGATACAACTTGTAATAACTCTCTGATATTCATGTTCTTGTTACTATACCTGCCATAAACACAGTGGAATACAACTGAACACCAAAGTGAAGCACTTCATAACTCCACAGCTGTTACAAACACTGTATCCTCTTTTGGTTTAAAAAAAAAGGGAAAAAAAGTTCCTCACGGAAGATTTAACTTGTGTGAGCATCTGGTTACCTGTTTCCTCTCAAGAAGTAAACAGAACTGAACCATAGAAAACTAGCAAATTGGAAACAGTTTAAAATTCAAAAACAACATGGACACTTTAAAAAAAGAATCAAAGTTTTTAAAGGTGAATCATGCAGGAAATATTTACCAAATCCAGGTCTAAAAAAATATGACAGTGAATCCCCCTCCTCAAAAAAAAAACAAAAATCACAAGTAAAAAAAAATTACACTTCTGTCATTTCAAAAGAGCATCCAAAACTGACAATGTACAACACCATCTCTGGGAGACCAGATAGTATTATAACCAAATCTCTAGTAAACCCTCTCTTAAAACCTACCTTCACCTATGACAAAACATCAGGGAAACTGGCAAGGTACTTGAGAATCACTTAAACCAAAATCTGATTATCCATAGCAGAAAATGTCCCTCTTGTTCAGACTCTTTGGAACACTCTCGTAAACTGGCAAAAAGCACTTGGAACTCACTCATATACTGGTGTGAAGGCATTAAGTAGTAGCTGACTTACACATAAACAATAACATCCACAGGCATGGGGCACCAACTGGTAAAACCAACACGCTGTTCCAAAATGGACGCCACTGACAAATGACACGAGCCTATAAGTAGCGATCAGCTGCCATGGCGGGGCTTAATTCGGTTAACTAAATCACTTGCAAGTGAAATGTATTAGACAGCATGGAGAGAAAATCAACACAAAAAGAAGTCAATGTACCCCTGAGTACAACCGGCCAGCCGCTGTCTCTCCGATTGCGAGCCTTCAGAAACTTTTTGTCTACATATGGTCAAAGTTAATCCTGGCGATGGGTCTGCCACGTGCGAGGCAGTGGGGTGGAAATGGAAATTTATGGACAGCCATTTTTTATGTCCCTCAGAGTCAAAGAATACTAGCCTTCAGTTTGCAGCAAGAAAGCACTCAACAGTAAGAGTCTTGTCATTTTTTCTTTTTTTCAGGGCTGTAAACTCAGTAATAAACTTAATATCTTGGTCTATAATTCTTAAATTTTTATGTACGTGAGATATGAACAAGGACAAGTGTAGAAAAGAAATGAGCAGAAAAACAGAAGCCGGATTTGTAGAGTCAAAGTCGTTAAGGCAATCATAAAAGGAAATGGTCTCCTGGGCTTTCATTATCTGTGTTGAAAGTGTTTTATGACTGGACACCAGAGCCATAATGTTCAGGCAATTTTCAACCAATTTCAAAACTCTTTCCAAGATCATCAGGCAGGAACAAGGATATGTTATAAACCTTCAATAAAACTCTCTTTAAAATACACTATCAAGAACTTAATAGTATCCTAACGTGGCCAGGAACATGGATGATATGAACAGTACACAAGATATACATTCTGTCCAGTTATAATGGTCAAGACAAGACATTAAAGTAAATCAATTTAACACTGTGGACCAGACATGATGTAGAATTGTGAACTGGAGAAATAAAAACAAATGTGAGAGAAGTTCATGGTTAACCTTTAGCTACAATTACAGAAGAACAATAGATATTGAAAAATCTATCCAGACATTTTCATGTATTGTGTCTGTGAGAGATGTTCAAATGTATAAGTGTAATTAACAGACAATGCTATAAAGGAGCACAATAAAAGACATCTGTGGAATCTATATATCTATCTCATTACATACTGAAAAAGAAAATGTGTAAAAACTAAAAGAATTCTAGCTGATTCAGAACATATACCTCATTACATAACTATTTAAAGGTTGCAAGGAGTATTTGCTATGTCCTAAAATATCAAAATTGGGAGGAGGACCTGAAGCAGCAAAACATATTTCTGAAAAAATTGAACCTTAAGTTATCATTAATTATAATGAATGTACTGAAAATCTTATAAATATCAGCCCTTTTTGACAAAATCAAAGAATGTGCATAACATGTGTTCTACAGAAGATAAAATGGACAGAAATCAGCTCTGACAGGGCATCAACTTGAGTTGAGCTCTACGCTCCAAGTTATGTTCCCAGGTTTATTCTTTACAACTTCAAAACATTACTCAGCTTATTAAAATGTCAATTATCTTAAAGTCTAGCCGATCAGTTGCACCTGGCAGCCGTGTTAACCTGATTAAATCTGTCAGTTCGGTGCAGGTATTCAATGGCCCATGTATTCACCTGTGTTCTTAATAATCCTTTTTTTTTTCGCAATTAAATCTTCCAAATATCTTGCAATGAATACGTCCAACACAAGTCTACAAATGTAATGGTCCTTCCTCCATTCCCTGTTTTTTCACCTGTGCTCCTAATGAGTCTCAAGTCTTGCCAGTAAATCTTCTAAATACCTTGCCGTGAATACTTTTAACAGATGCTGGTTAATTCAGTGTACAGAGAATTCGTAAGTTGTTCACTTACATCTGCCATTTAACCTTTCAAATATTTAGCAATGAATATTTCCAGCAGAGGTCTATTAATTTTATGTACAGTTTTTCACACTTAATCAACTTTAGTTGCACATTTTAACTTTATAAAAGGTGGATTTCTGATTAATAACACCCCCAATAATTGTTAAGTTGGGAATAAGTGGAATTAAATAAGGATTTTGAATAGCAATATGGCACAAGGCTCATCAACTTTAAGTTCACATTTAAACTTTATAAAAGGTGAATTTCTAATTAATAACACCCCCAATGATTGTTTAGTTGAATTAAACAAGAACTTTGAATAGCAATATGTCAGAGGCTATAATTTCATTAAAATGGACATTCAATTTGAAATGCTTTTCAAAAGAAGATAAAACACTTAAAATTTTAAAATTACAATGAAAAACCCTGGGAGAGATAACTATAAATGTGTTTTATCACTCCTAATATGTGTTTGGACCACTGCAGACTCCCGTTCTCAACCATCTCTTACAATATAATGAAATTGCACCATCTCAATACATCTAAATTAAAAGAAAATTCAATTCAATGCCACATTCTTATAAGAAGTGACAAAGAATGTTATTTGAACATCATTAAATAGCATCTTAGTCACATGTTAGTTATTTGATGTATCTCACTGTCGAGTTACTCCGTGTGAGACCATCTCCAAGTTAAGTTATGGGGATCTCGTGGTATTTTGTTGAAAAGTGAGATACTTTTTATCTATGAGTCTACATGAGTTTATTCCAATGGAAGAAACCACATTGAACAAATTCAAATTTATCTTTAATCTGTTACCATTAAACTCATGAGTGAACAAGTCCTTTTTTACAGTCAATTATAAAATAATACCATACTTAAGCATACAATTCAGTACTATGATTTTAGATATATGCTTTAGTTTATTGATGTGCTAACAGTTTACCTACCTTCTTAACAAATAAGAAATATTGATATTTTTAATATGTGACAAAGATAGTTGCAATCTTTTGAAAATAAATTTGCAAAGTAAGCACAGCAGTGCTTTGTCCTCAATTAAGAGAGGAAAGGGGGGAATTTTGACAAAATGTTCTCTTTGTTACATCTCTAAAGTGAAAGCAAGATGAAGGACATTGATGCTAATTGTAGGAAATATATAAGAAAGAAAAAACATCAAA